TGCGAGCGGTAACCGAAGTGTTTTACGTTAAAATTAAAAGGTCTCTATATTTGGCTGCGAAACGAGCTACGCTCCTGGAGAAAAGCCAAAAAGATCCGTTACCCGGTCACGAGCAGTTTGACGACGAAGTGGAAAAGGTTAATTATTACGTGAAATTTTTATAAAATTGCAGTCCATGAGAATATTTCGTAATTTTTCATTTTTAGTTGTTGCACTCTTTGGACGAGGATGATCGCAGCGTACCAGAATCTCCGGTGTTACCAATCGATAAAGAAAAGGACAACGTACAATCTCCTATTCATAGTGCAACAGCTCCAACTTCGCCTGCTCCAGTCAGTGCTAGCCCAGTTACGCATTCGAAGTTCATTTCATCGTATAGTGATCACAATGGCAAACTCAAAAATTCGCCAATAAAGGTTTCGTCTTTGTTATAATCTCTTTATTTTCACGCCAAAGGTATAGTGGTAGAAAGTAATCATTTTATATATTAATTTTAGACACCTTCGGTAACAAGCCCTACCGGAGAACACAAGTTAGATTTGGATACGGAAATACTTGCCTGTCAAGAAGCGAATAGAGTGATGTCAGCAAAGAAATTAATCGAAGACGAAGAGAGAACGAATCTCCTGCCTAAGCAAGAGGATTCTTAACGTTCGGAGAATAGTCGATGATGACCATCCACGTCGACGCTGTTCAACTTGCAGGTATCAAACAACGAAGAGCAGGAAAAACCTCTATGACATACAATGCTATAATGGCATTATGTACTTAACGAATTACTTAAATATTTATCGCAAAACAAATCGATACCGATCATGTGAGTTTTAAGTTCTAAATAGATGGCTCAGAGACTGTCCGCGATATCCTAGTTCTATGGAGTTAGTACGCTCAGGGAAGGTTGCCAAATTTACAGACGTTCTCTTATGGATTCAATTCTTCTCATAGTCTACGTAAGCAACATAATACGTAACCAAAACCCGAATCATATTTTCACTCGACAAATGTCTTATTTCTGCTTGAGCGCTGCTTTACGAAGCATAATTGTTTTTCTTATAGGAGCGAAAAGCTCGTCGAAAGTTGTACATTTTCACTGTCATAGGAAAGCTCATCTTACATTATTGACCGTATAATGCACATGTTTTCAGCAGTTTCTATTCAGCCTTTGTAAATATCATTTTACCATGCAATTTATTTGAAAAAACTATCTCTCTTAAATACGTATTTCATCCCTAACAATGAAATACACGTCTATATGGCAATTGTATATGAACATTTTTCGTGTTATTATGTTCTTTAAAAAACGAAACAGATTTCAAAAGGATTCGAAGCAACGAAAGGCTTGCGAATATCGTTGAGGTTATGTAAATTTTGTTCTCGTCGTAGGAACAAGGAACGTATTCGACCAAAAGCACGTTGGATGTAGTAGAAGGGACTAAAAGTTGAGAGAAACGTTTCTAAAAAGAGTATTCAAGCACATTATTTAATCCATTTTATAAGTACACAAAGGAGAGGGTAGGGTGGCTGTAAAATAATTGTTTTTGTCCAGTAATCTCGTTTTCCTTGTATCGTACTCCCGATACGAATGTGAATAGTGTGAATAGAAATAAGGAATAAATCCCTCACTTTTGTAATCACTTGTAAGGAGATCCTCGGCATATAAGTACGATAGTAGTTCGTTATATTTTTATTCAGTGCCTTAACGAATTGTAAAACTATGTTTAATCGTCTGCAATGAAATGCACTTTAATAGAAAATTAATATAATTTCGATAATAAATTCAAAATGTACGTTCATTTTTATTCATTTACGTTAGTACGATGTCGCTAATTTAAACATTTTTTTTTATTTAATTTTTTTTCAAAATAAAAGAGATATTCATTTGTCATACGCTTTCATACGATACATGATATTTATTATACATATACGTTGATGAAATACTCGTGCACAGCGTAACGTAAGAATACAGTCGTGTATTCTTTAAATGAAAAGAGTATGCTTTCATTTTTCTTACTTACCGTGTAAAACAAAAATTAATTTACCTATACAAAATAACGGTCAACATTTGTACATATCCTAAGTTTGAAATAGTTAAAGTAAGTGCAAAAAGAGATCTCCCTGAATTTCGAATTATCCCTAATAAAGAGATAATAATTATCTGATAAGCTGTTAAATCTGCTAAATAACGAAATAAGACCAAAAAAAAAGAAAGGACGTGTCGTCGGATTTTTTACGAAAATATTAATTGACTAGCGTACTTAACGTAAGAAATATAGAACAAGTTCAACATAAAGGATCATTAGAATAGCGGAGAGATCTTAGAGTTTCTCATTTCAATCATCGCGACCTATCGTTATTTTCACATAAAATTTAATAGTTAGACTGTTACTGCCATATTTTGTATACTCACTAATTGTTGTATCAATGTTTGTTTTAAACAATTTTCAGAGAACAAATTGAACATTCGAAACTGAATACTATCGCTATACGAGTATCAGTTATTCGAAGATCTTCGAACGAGAACTCAATTTTAAAAGTGTTGAATTCTACGTATGCATGCTTATATCTTGCAAACAAAATATATCTATTTTAGATTAGCGTAAAGTGTACAAAATCGTTCAGATTTTATTTTTTATATACATATATATCTATATTTATTGTTTGAACGATTTTATGTGAACATACATGTTTGCATGTGTCTTATAGCTTTGTGGAATGTTTTCATAAATATGAAATAATGTGCGATATAGCTTTAAAATATATTCGTTTTAACGTATTCCGTTCACGGTATTCTATATATTGCAGAAAGTGAACGATTAATGTCAACATATTTAAGTGACATGTAATTTTAAACTGCAATACGTGCACACACAATACAATAGGTACATATCGTCTATTCCGTAGCATTTATTATTTTTACGCAATTAACTGTATTTTTATTGTTAATTATCTTTTTTTGTTGTTAATTTACAATGAGAATTACACACAACATTTTTTGTAGTTCACTTAGTTATTAAATATTAGTTTAAAGACCATTTATTACACTTGTTGAGATTCGTTAATGCATACTTACAATTTTTCATAGGAACTATAGATGTTATCAACGCTAACGATATGCTTATATTCATGAAAATCTTAAATCAACTTTATAATCAATGTTTCAACTTATAGAAGAAATTCTAATGAAAACAATCAACGGAAAAATGAGAAATTCACGTTGTGTTGCATTTGCAATGTGATATTTTGTTTGGTATGAAAGTAGTGCTAAATTTTGTTTACACTGATACAAGTTAAACTTCATCGAAACTATGATCTTAGAAATTCCATGATTCTTGATATGTCGCAATTTTTCGAATAAAGGCATGCGTACTAAAAAATCAACACGCTCGGTACAGGTGTATGTCAGCGAAATTACTGCACATACTTTCAATGAAATAACACATTAAGTCTGTACTACCGTTACCGTAGAGTCGAGGTGTGTCGATAAAAAAAAAATGTACATTCGAAAAAAAAAATAGAGACAAGTACATATATATCAACGCATTACTGTATACATAAAATAAAAGTATAATTTCGTTTTCAAAGTATTGGTCTATTTTCACTTGAAATCTATCGTAGTATCAGCTAACGACAAAGTTCGAAATCGTTTAAAAACAGTTTTGTACAAAATGCTTGACGAGGCAGTACCAGACTCGTGTCTTCACACGGGTGAATTTATTTACGAGCTGCACCCCTCGTAGAAAATCTAATAGCTACCCTTCTGTATATGGGGTGGATTTATATTATTACCACGCAGAATTTCTCTTATAAACATAGAAGGAATATTTAATTTCTTTTCACCCTTGAATTTTTAATATCACTTAAACTATATTTATGGAGCCTCAATTATTTTTTAGTCGGTAAACTTTCCTTGCCATATGATTTTATTATAATAAGAATATTGAACAGTAGTATATAACACGTACACCCTATATACATAAAACGGACCCTTCTGCATTCCAAGGCTGCCGAGAATTCGTTACGACCATTCAACTTCCCCTCCGTTAGGTGGTTTTCGAGCTGCATCCCTTTTATTCCACACAGTGTAGACCGGTAGATTGATTTAAAATAAGAGATTGCGAAAGAAATCGATAAGTTGAACACTTTTCTTAACGTACAGCCGCTATACAAGAATTACTTCGCTTACAACTACTTTTTCAATGGATTTATCGTACAATTCATATACAGGGTGTCCCAAAAATGTTGTAACACCTTGAAAGGGGTAATTCGGGAGATGATTTGAAACAACTTTTTCCTTAGAGAAAATGTTGTCCGAGGCTTCGTTGAGGAGATATTAACGGAAAACACTGACCAATCAGAGCGCCAGTATGCCAGTGGAGCGCACGCGGTAGCGTATGAGCGCGGCCGCCTAGCGCGTAGCCACGCCTACTGCGGGCGCTCCAACGGTATACTCGCGTTCTGATTGGTCGGGGTTTTCCGTTAATATCTCCTCAACGAAGCCTCGGACAACATTTTCGCTAAGGAAAAAGTTGTTTCAAATCACCCCCTGAATCACCCATTTCAAGGACCTCCAACATTTTTGGGACACCCTGTATTTATTGAAAAATACAAATTCAAGTTTAAAATACGAGTACCATGTAAAGCCTCCAGGGGGATCATCTTGAAATCCAAGGAGAGCGCGAAAGAAAGTTTCTAAACGTTCGTTGACAACGTAAACATCTCTCTCTACTAATAGATTGGAAGCGTAGAATATTAAATAAATAACAAGAAAATATACAAATTGGTTTGTTAAACTACTTGTATATTTGCACCTGCGCAGAACAATGTACCTCGGATGACTGAACGTGACTCCCGATGGATGATAGTTGCTCGATGCTGTCAGTTAGCGGGTAGCATCTGCAGGCGTCGGACGCGTCTTTTTGTAAGTCTGTAATCACTGTACTTTTCCACGTTGCTATAAATTCATTTTTATTTTTATAAAACGTTGCCATTCTTCTTCCTAGTGTATTTAAAACCGTTAGAAAACCCCTAATGGAATTTAAAATCTAAATCTCCTTAGATTTAAATTTACAATTGCCTTGCTTTTGAACATTGGATTTACGCACCGTTTCAAAGGTACGTACATTTTATACACTTTTTTACATTTTCTATACGTTTGGAAAATTTATATGTTTCGCGTAAATAATTTATACTATTTGTTACAATTATATAAACATTGCGTCGCCTAAGGGAAACAATTAAAATTCGACTATTTTTGATTCGAAGGATCTGGGTCGGGATGGCGATAACACCGCACGAATAAACCGTAATAAAATCATTTATTAACCCGAGAACTAAATTCAGCGGGACAACTGAACTGTTATTGGTAATTTATCGATGTCGACTAACCGTCTCCGAGATCGTTATCCATTCTTACACTTTAAAGCATTGAAATGTAAAAGCGTGATTGACGATACTGTTAAAAATATTGTGTTTACTTTGATGCTTAAAAAAAAAAAAAGAAGAAGAAGAAAACAGTTCTTCGAAAATACGACGAGAACTTACGGCGCGGTAATTGCATGAAATGGACGAGAATTTCAGTCTTTGTAGGGTAAAGCCGCTCCCTCTGGTCATTAGGATATTTCAGTTCCTTCGTTGACGCGAAAGTCAACCTCGATCTCCTCTTTTTTGGTTCGAACGATATCGATGTTCCACCAGCTTTATAAATATCCCTCGACATAAAAAAAAAAATATCGATTATCACTTCTGCCGTATTTTTGTCCACAATTCAATTTGCCAGGTGCTTTTATTAAACCCTTGTGATCGTTGTTGTTTTATCGATGATTTTGTTTTTAATTATCCGTACGAGTAAACACGGCCTCCGTAACATCCTTCCCATGTATCTATAAAAATAAACATCAATAATAATTTTAATTAACGAGGGCATACCCCTGTTTCGATAAAGAAAGATTAAAGGAAATTCAAGCTCTATCACGGTCTATCGTTGCATTGAAATCCGCAACCGAACAAAGATAGTATAAATCGTCTTCGTAGATAAGAGTAATAGATGAAAAATCGACAGAATCGAAGAAAAAAGAACGATCGAACGAGTGCCCTATGGATCGTAAATCTTCGGGCAAGGTTTACACGTGTAGACATCGGACCCCGTTGTTTGTATTAAAGCAAATGCATCCTGTGCGTACGTGTGCGCGCTGCACGAAGAAAACGACAATTTTGCAAAGGAACACGATACCCGTGGTTCTGCGTAAACTCGTCCCGAACCGACCACCGTCACGAAGAGGGGAAACGTTTCGTCGCTTTTTTTAAATCTAACGAATCGTGTTAATCTTCTTCGAGCTGTAAACTTTCGTAAATGTTTTCTGAACTCTGTCTCAAATTACTATTCTTGTTTACCGATCCGTTAAAAATAGATGGCAAGACAAAGAAATCCTTCACGCGCGGATCGATTGATCTTGAACGACCGTGTACGCGCAGACAGGCCCTATCTCAAGGCTGGATCAGCTAGACGATTCGACCTGGCCCTCTAACCATTTAGAGACTATTGAAACGATTAATAGTCCCACGTCTGAGGAAAAGAACGTTTACAAACCAAAAACGGAACACCGTTTAAAGTTTATAAACTTTATATTACCAAGTGTCCGAATATTACTCGGTGTATCAATAAAGCTATACGATCGATCGTAACTGGCTCTAATAGATCTCAAGTTGGTTGTCCAGAAGTTAAATTGCATTAAGCGATTCGCCTGTTACAGACTCGATAAGTCCTATCAACCGGATACAGCGTCGCGGATAGCACCAATATAAAAGCCTGCTAAAATGCCGAACGTCGTACGAGGAACGCTCGAGCGAGACGAAGAACGGTAAGATGGAACCGTATTAAATGACTAAACGATCAAACTCGTTCAATCAATTTTTTTCGAAACGATGACAATAAAGCCTAGAGAACGACCGGAGTGATCCTATACTAAAACAAATTCGTCGACGAACCGAACCGCAAGGATTTCGATCATGAATCTAACTCGTGATGATAAAACGTCGATGATTTAAATATGAATTCATCTTATCTTTGGGGCGAAGACGAAGAATGGGGTCCACGATACTATTTCACGTACTACAGCCAATTCGGTAATCGACAAGGAGTTAGCGCCATCGAGGTGAGTCGACGTGAAAAAAGTTTTCCAATTTTGATTAGTTCTTAAGACTTAATTCAGACTTGGAAACTCGAAAAAATACTATTTCAAGTCAGGTGATCTTTGAAACGAACCTGAACTCGTCTACTTTAAGGCACGAGCTCGTGGAAATTTTCCTCGCTCTCTTAAACATATAGATTCGCAATTAGTTACATCGGCGATTGTTGTTTTATCGTGTCACACTCGTAAACCGTCGCCGTGTGCGAAGCTATTAATTAGCAGAGGCATCGCTCGAAAACTTGTGTCTAATTAGAGAAGCGAACAATGCTGCGGTGCGTCCTAGTTTTCGTTCTTGGAATGAGCTTGCACTGCAACACGGTACGACGATGCCGCGATCCTTCCAAGTTATAGAAAGGAATCGTTTGTGATCGCAGGTGGTGATACTGGCCATTAGCTTCGTTTTAGCGGTTGGTGCCAACATGGGAATAGCCGGCTGTGTGCTCAGGTACAAGGAAATGAGAACGCCCACGAACTTGTGCTTGGTGAACTTGGCCGCCGCCGATCTCCTATTTACCATTGGTGTACCAGCAATCGCTTACACTAGATTGACGCAATCTTGGCGACTCGGAGAAGTAATCTGCAGATTGCTACCCTATTCCCAGGTAAAATCCTTTATATTTCAATTTCCATGTATGTTACTTTCCGAGAGATACTTTCATTCATATTTTCTAAGTATTCGTTTAATATTAGGTTGTCCCAAAAGTTTCTTTACTTTTATCAATAATTAATACATACACAATATTTGATGTTTTATGTTACATTACAAAATTGTGTACAATTCATTTCGCTTCATTACTGTTATAGCATCAATGTCTAAGAAATTAGATTGTCTATTTATATAAACATTGCCACGCAAAATAATTGAATGCAACTAACGAAAGAAACTTTTAGGACAACCTAATACTTTACACCCTCAACCATAATCAGTAATCTATACTTGAATAAGCATGGATCTAAGTTCTATTACTTTCATCTTTTAAAAATTCGTATGGATCCGCACCTATTATCGAAGCGATATTTAACAAAATATGATCGCTTTAATTGGAGCGAGAGCAAAACATCGCGTGTACACGATAATAGTACAAGTTGTTGTCATTCGATAAACCTTTATCCTTTACGGATCAAGGCCGTAATCACCCGCCACGGGTGGTCTATATACGAGGTGCTTCTTTCGATACGTTCCAAGCTCGATACTTCCTCGTGTGCCGCAACATACGAATTTAACACAAATTTAAACTTTAACATGTATAAACACATAACATATTTTCATCTTTAAAAGACATCCGCATGTACATTTACCTGGTTGCTCTTAATTCTTATAGTTCGTCTGCGGCTTCGTGCTTCTATGGACATTAACGTTTATATCAATGGACAGACATCGATGTTTAGCGATAGCTCCCTACAGAAGTGCCTTAACGAGGCCCCGAGTTCTAGCAGGTAGTCTCGTCACGTGGATCATAGCGGCTTTCGTTTTTCTACCGGTCGTATTTTGGTTTCAGCCGAAGGTATCCTTCTATTGCATTAAAAAGAAATCAATAACGAGGATGGTACTTGGTGTCACTTTAGATGTGTAACACAAAGAATCAATAATCGATATACTTTAGTCGAGTACCAATTAACATTTGATTAATTAATAGGATATCACGGATGAGTTGTCGATCTGCACTCTGGTCTTCCCGCGAAGCAAGATCGTGAACGTCTCGTTATGTTTCACGGTACCGATCATCGTCCTCGCTTGTCTTCTACCTATGGCTCTTCTGGTCTATCATTACCAACGAATCTTTCAGAAGATACTGGACTCGCGGAGCAGATGGGCTGTTCCGTGCGTTGCACAAGTAATTAATATTTTCCGAATATACATACGTTTTAAATCATTCGTACTAATTTACAATGTACTATATCGTATAATTAACCCTTTGCAATACAAAGTCACCTATGACAAGAACAAAATAAGAAAAGAATTATAGCGCGAAGAGTTAAGCGTCCATGTATCACGGTCATCTATTTCTAAACGAATGCGATAAATATATCCAGGGGTTGGAGAGCAACGCAACAGGTAGAAGAGACTCGGAGCTATCGGTGGTAGGAACGTTGCTACCCTGGGCAGGAAGGAAGTTGTCAGCAGTGTCGGCCACGGGTCGCCAAGGACGTACGGGTAGTCTTTCTCAACATGAAGAGATACGACTGCACAAGCATCTTCGAGTCGTACGAATCTTACTGTTAAACGTAGTGGCCGTCCTCGTGATGTGGCTTCCGATTACCACGGTGATGCTCTTAATTTACGTTGACGGTAGAAGGCCTACCGAGGACACGAATTTTTTCTTGAGGTCGCATCATTTCGTTTGGACTCTGATCATCGCACAATTGAATACCGTAGTCAATCCTTTACTCTATGGTGTTTTTTCTGAAAATTTCCGAGTCTGTTTCGCAAAGCTCTGGGGACGCGATAGCAATGCCAGAAGCATCGAACGTGGAGGATCGAAGAAAACCCCTAAGTCCTTGGAGGCATTTCAGAGTCGATTGGGTGGCACCAGAACACCTAGCAGCTCGAGAAATCAACAAAAGCAAGCGAAGAAAAGCTCCAGTTGCAGCATAGGTAGCATCGTCGAAGTACCCGGTTCTGAAAGATTATAAAATATATGGAGATATCGATCGATTGATGCATGGAAGGAAAGGTCCTTCCAAGGATTCGCGTCAACTAAACTGACATTCATTTTGTTTAAATTATTTTAATTGACAACTGTACATGTAATTAAATAATAGAAAATGATATAAAATATAGTACAAAATTTTATAAGAATGTATTTAACAGAAGTAAAATTCGTTTTTAATAAAACCTGACTATGTTTATTTATGAAAGTTTTTTTTACAGTTAAATGTTATTATTCGCCAAATTGCTTTCTCACAGTTTTTTTAATTTCAGATAGTTTTCTCATATCGATGTTCCCCTCTTTAATTAAGTTTTGAATTGCAGCAATTTTAGAATTTATAAAATTTGTTTTCTCAGATCTTGTTTTTCTCTTATTCTTTTCAGGGACAGGTTGAGTTACATAATTCTTTATAAGACACCAAGAGTATCCTTCATCTTTCAAAGTAATTAAATCAATTGCAACCTGCATGACATTTACCGATTTACCTTCTGGTATATGTATATCAACTATAGTTTCCTGATCTACTACTTTTTTCATACAATATATATTCTGACATTCGAATGTCAATTTAAGAATAATCCAGCTGTTCTTTGGTAGTATATTGTCAAAATTTGCAGACAGAAACGATTTATTAGCTATTCTATGTATCGTAAATTTCGGACAAAATCTAACTTTATGTTTATGAGCATATAAATTTATTCTTCTGAGCTTATCTTCTTCCCTTATTAATTCTTCGTTCAATCTATGTAATGTTTGAGTTCCTTTATAAATCTTATCCATTACAAGATCGGTATTTTTCAACATGTCTGCATTAAGGTCAATAAAAGTATCATTTTCTACTGATAATGTCTTTTCCACTACATCCGTAGAAAACGCTACTAGTTGTTTGTCCAACGTTAGCCCTAATATTGTTTCGAAATCATAATATTGCAGACAAGCAAAATTTTGATCTTGAATTTTTATCCTTAGGATATTATCTGTTAGCAATAGTTTTTTCCCACAATATAATTTATATTCATCCGAATAGAGAAGTAACAAGGTATCTTCTGTTAATAGACTAAAACTAGCGCAAATAGCTTGTACATTTGTTCGTAAAGAAATTTTTTCAAAAGTAAGCGTATCATTTTTTGAATGTATTACAATAACAACATCTGTAGCAGTGATAAGCAGCAATCCATCGATCTTAGAATTTCTATGTACAGGTACAATATCTCTAATAGAATAAATGCTATCATATATTATTTGTACACTCTCGCTTGCTAGTATTAAAACTCTTTTCCCAACTGCAATAACACATAAATTTTCTATGATAGAATCCTTATTTGTTATAGCCCTTATAAACTGTTCTGTAGCACTCTTTGAATTCATTGGATAAATGCACAAGTTCGTTAAATTACTTTCCTCCAAAGAAAGTTGAAGCAACAATTTACTCGTCATCTGTTGCTTATTATCTAAATAAAGATACTTATTTCTTATTGTCAATACTTCGTAAAAAACAGTGCCCATTCCAATCGCACTCTTACTTAAAACAGCAAACTCTCGCTCTCTCGAAAGCTTATATATTCCTTGTGGAATGCAAATTACAAAAATTCGACCCTCGAAACATTGAATATTTTTTATCGGAGCAGGAGCTGTCAAAACGTCAATGGACACAGGACTGTCAACCGTGTATGGAAATATCGAAAGCTTGTCATCGTTCCAACAGAAGCAAGTGTATTCGCCGTAAAACGTATCGAGGATGAAAGATTTTGGCACGAAAGAATCATCTGTCGTAATATACATTATTACTAATGCACGATATTTGCAATTTTATTACCATTAACGTTAAATTGAATTATATCTTCTGATACAACAGCTGACGACAGCGAACAACTGCGAACAACAGCTTATAAATAAATTCATAGACGAAATAAATGTGTTACATAAGTGAACGCAACTGAAAAAATACGCCCCTAGCGATCCTGATACCCTCTATTTCTATTTAGTTCTAAGTCCTGTCCCCATACGACGCTGTCGGAGGTCTACAGTAAAATCCAATGGGATATCTACTCTTGATATAGTTATTGTTAGTTATTGTAATACTTGAACCCACCTGAACCTGAATCAATTTCTTGTTCGCTTTCTTGTCCAATTCTAATGCATCATTTATTTCTTTTAATCGCAAGTGTTAATACAACGTATTCGTGTGTTCCATAGAATATGTCGGATTTAATGTTTGATGAACTCGATGAAGTTCACATTAGAAATTATGCCGAAGTACTGGAACAAAGGCAAAACGATGAAGGTGTAGATACTGCAACATCGTTCGCACAGGTGTGTTTTTCGTGTTAATAAAAGTAACTACTCCTTATGTTTTTACTTTGTTATTTACTAGAGTGCGTTATCATTTTAATTGCAGAATCGTGTGGAAAATTTCGTACTTGACTTGTATAAGTTAAATAAGAAACCCATTTTGATGAGACAAAAACATATAGAATTATTAAAAAGATCATTGACCCATCTCAGCCAACCTTACGATGTAAGTATTTTTAAACGACCGATATTAATCATTGTTTCTATTAAACTGAAATTTTTACTACTGTTTCTTTCATTATGTTAATTAGCATTTAGATTGCAGCAGATCATGGTTATGTTATTGGATTTTACATTCCCTCGAAATATTAGGAGAACGTTTGGACGACGACGATTATTCTAAAATTGCTACTTTTTTGGCCAAATGTCAGTCACCTGAAGGAGGATTCGGAGGAGGTCCAGGACAATATCCTCATTTAGCTAGTACTTATGCAGCTGTGAATGCACTGTGTACCATTGGTACTTATCAAGCGTATCAAGTAATTAACAGGTACATACAAATTCCATAAGTAGAATATTGATAATTATTGACACCGAATTTAAAAATAATTACATCTACATTAATTCTAGAGAAAGACTGAAACGCTTTTTATCATCCTTACGGCAGGAGGATGGTTCTTTTAGTTTGCATGCCGATGGAGAGGTAGACATAAGAGGAGTATACTGTGCAGTTGCTGTAGCAAAGCTAACAAATGTATATACTCCTGAAATGTTCAAAGGAACTGCAAATTGGGTAGCCGAATGCCAGACATGGGAGGGTGGTTTTGGTGGTTGTCCTGGCATGGAAGCTCACGGGGGATATTCGTTTTGCGGAGTAGCGGCACTTATACTTCTCGAAAAATATAATTATTGTCACTCAAAATCACTGCTGGTACAAATACTGTTTTCATTTTTATATTTTATATTCATTTGCATGAAGAAACAGAATGCATAGAGTTACCAACATGATAAAGCTCAAAATATTCCATTTTTTTTTTTAAAGTCTGTCACTATGTTTCTATTTCTATCTATTTTCAGAGGTGGATAGTAAATAGACAAATGCGTTTAGAAGGTGGATTTCAAGGACGCCCTAACAAACTTGTAGATAGTTGCTATTCATTTTGGCAATGTGGAGCTTTTCCATTAATTAATGGAACTTTAAGATTACAAGGGAAGGAGTTTAATTCTAAGTATTGGTTGTTTGATCAAGAGGCTTTACAAGAATATTTACTAATTTGCTGTCAACATCCTCATGGTGGCTTTTTGGATAGACCTGATTGGTATGAATCCTGCTATTATACCATACAGTAAAACAAAAATACAAATTTTGTTGTGTTTTAGCTATCCAGATTTGTATCACACGTGTTACGCGCTTAGTGGATTATCTGTTGCACAAAATTCTCCATGGTCTGTGGTCATCGGCCCTCGTACCACAAATTTAGTGAATATAATTCACCCAGTATACAACCTAGTAATGCCTTGTGCAAACAAGGCATTGGAGTACTTTGATAGTCTACAAATACCTGACTGAACATGTGTTTGATATTCGAAGTGCATTAATAGAATAACAAATGTTTCTATTGCATTTTGGAAAAAATTTGGAAGAGACAGATTCTATTTCACTTCATATTAAAATTGACCAACAAAGTGTAAATATAAAGTTATTTATTAATAAAATTAAGAATTACTATGATTCAATTGGTGTTCCTGTAATCATACTATACCAACACGTGGAAGGATATGTGGGAAAATAGTTCATTGGCATTTTTGTTTATTCAATTCTAACCTAGCACGTCCTATTTGAATATATATATATATATATATATATATGTAGAAAGTCTCAGCAAGTGCATCAACGTAAATTAAATTTGGAATATAGATAAGAAGCGAACTATTACTTACAATTGGATATTAATAAATGCTATTACGTTTATTCGAACAAAATTTCGTCACCAATCTAAACGACCACTTACTATACTTAATTATCTTTACAAATTCAAGATTATGTTTGTTTTAATTTAAAAAACTTGAATTTCCACTAAAAATAAACTCATATCGTATCGTAATAGTTTTTGAAATGTTTTATTACGAACAAAAAATCTCTTACATACTGAAAACCCGGTTTATAGATGCTTCATGAGTGTATATATGTATACGTCCGGAAATGCTCCAAACACGAATAACACGTTGTACGAAGAGGATTTTGTGAAGTTTCGAGGTCAGTAGTGTCATCGTTTGAAAATGTTGAAAAACGAATTTTGTGAGAATAATGCACATTTTAAATGTAAAATTTGTAGATAAAGGATTACATTAAAAATATATTTGACAATCGTTTCCAACCTGAAAGAAGAGGTTATGGCGAAATACTTGATACAAATAGTTATATTGGGCACGAGAGTCGTCGGTAAAGCGTTTGCACGGGCATTGCGACAAGAAATAGCAGCAAGTCAAGAGGCTGCACGCAGAGCAGGTGGAGGAACGAGAGGTGCTCAACATGTAGCCGCTAATTGTAAAACTGGAATTTCTTTAGAGGAAGCATTACGTATCCTAAATGTTGAACGATTGGATCAAACAGAAGCTATAGAGCGCAACTATAAGTATCTCATGGAAGTCAACGACAGATCTAAAGGCGGTTCCTTTTATATTCAATCGAAAGTAGTGCGTGCTAAAGAACGTATCGATGAAGAACTAAAAAATCAAACCGTTCCTCCAAAAGCAAGTTCTACACATGAAGATAACGCTAGACAACTCTAGCGAATGTTTCTGTAGTCTAAATTTAATTATTACATCTTTAAAGACTGTATATACACATTTAGCAATCTATATTTTAAACATAAATAAATAAAATGAAATGTATAAATAATCAAAATTGCAAACGTACTTTGTTATTGGTTAAAATATCAAACTAAAACAGATATCTTATTTGAATAGCATATGGGTCTTTGTATTGTATAATTTTGATCGATCGTAAAAGGTAGAGAATAAGAAAACATTGAATCTTGTGTGTGTATATATATATATATATATATACATATACATATATATATATATGTTTATATAAATAAATATTTTTAAGAGACATATAGGTTCATGTGACAGTCTTTCAATTGAAGTTCTCGCTCTTATACGAGTCCTTCCAGATACAGAATACTTAAAATTCATTATTTGCTAGACCAGCTACTTTCGCATCTTCTGGCTTAATTCTATTCTGTGTTTGACGAATGGATAACCTTTCCTGATTATGACGAACAGACCACAGATTTGGTAAAAATTTTGGTTTCATGTTCAATAGGAAGTGTTCTCTCCATATACGCTCCAATTCTACCAACCCACCTTCCCTTCTTTGAAAATATTGAACCACCTAAATAAAGAATATGTAAGTAAATTTTTCAGTGTTTTATAAAATATTTACTCTTTGTTTACTACTGCATACCTTCAAACCATGAGGTTGGCATTTAGTTTTGTCTGTATTAGGTACCGAAAGTGTAGCATTTTTTATTAATTCTTTACTCAACATATCTAAGAAAACCGGTGTAATTTGTTGTTGACCTGTACATTCTAAAATATAATGTTCTAATTCTTTACGACGTACGTCGGGTAATGTTGTTCTTTCTTTTAATGCCTTAACAGCTGAATGTAATTTCCACCAATTATTTACATATTTATTGCGTATATGTGTTAGTGGACCAGCTAGAGGCGCATCACACGTATCTGCTAACTTTTTTCTGAGCTGCAAATCGTGATAATTGCTTATTTCGTGACACGATGGACATAATAATAATACATCGTGCGACTGATGTGCTTTCATCACCACTGAAAAATAATTGAAAGTTTTTTAAATAATTTTACGTCCTTTGAGATATGTCGAACTATGTTTCAGTTTTATAACTCACACGGAAAGTATTTACGATACTCTCTGGGCACAACGTTTTTCCTAATAAATTTCTCTGAAGTTCCACACACTACGCATTGATTGACTTTAACTTGTGTATAATATTGACCAACCTCTCCTAGAGCACGGCCAGAAGGTTCAAATTTTAATCTCACGGTAAATGGTTCCATCTCGATCATTTCTCCTAATCCTTTGGTAATATACCATTCGGCTTTTTTACGATCACATGTACACAATATGTCTCCATCCGGTGCTTGTAAATAGCAATTATGATACAATGGTTTATTTCTTATAGGTATATTGATTTTACATACAGTATTATTATTTTTCTTCAAATCTCGTAAACACTTGTCAAGATTATGGATTTTAGTGTTTTTGTGATTTGCAGTTGTGTGGGTCTGTTGAGCCTTGAACCTTAAACAAATAATTTATAAATGACTTTCTATAAATTAAGACAACTTTTAATATGGAGAATATCTTATTACCTTGTATCAATTACACCGCTAGGTAAACAATGAAATTGCATATTCAAGTTTTGATTACATATACTTTTTATATAATTTACCAAGTTCTCCCATAAAGAATACTTTTCTTTTATCCTTTGCACAATCTGAAAAATATGAAATAGTTTAATTGGTATTTAACATAATTCCTATTGAAACTGTCTATTATTATGAAAATGTTATATTTCTTTTTACCTGGTCATAAATAAGAACAGATGCGATTGCATCACAAGCAGCATATGCTACTTGTTCGTCAGTAAGAGTGCCAGCGTTCCAATTGCCACACCTTACTTCTACTAATTTATCCATTTCCAAATTTAAGTAATGTAAACTCAATGCAGCTAAACTTTTCGGACTTGGCAAATTTGCACGTTCTGCCAATGTCCTTAAATCAAGCGTACCACAAACTCTACATCCATAATCCGCTACTATCTTTTGACCATCTTCGTAAGAAGCAACTCCAACTTTCAGAATATGTTTACTAGCTAACAGTTCCTAAAAAAAATTTGATTCAGGTTTCCAGAATATTTCATATATTATGTCTATTGTAATTATATTAAAAGCATTATACTTTTAATTTGTGAGGAACATATCCAATTTTACTAATTCGAAACAGACCGCATACTCCATTAATTGTAGCCAGCTGGACTAAAGAAACAGGTCCTTCGTTAACCCATTCACAGTCAAAGCCCAGTATATTGTTAGATAAATTGCTTTAACATAAAAAGTATTTACTTACAGTTGTGTAAATAAACAATACATGTTCATTCTCTTATTCATAATATCAAAAATCTGAACTTGAATTATTTATTATTATATAATATTTATATTGATATTTGTGATATAACAAGTTCTTAAGTAAAAGATATTTTGTACAAATGGTATAGTAAGCACTACCTGAATGAAAAAAGTGTAAACACGACTTACGATTCAAATGTCCATAGATAGACATACGACACAGAAAAAATGTAAACATAGCATCATCGTGTATTCTATAAACATAAGAAATTTAACAGATAGTAGTACCAAGACACAACTTACCAGCGAATATGCTGAACGGCGTAATCACATTTTTCTGGAGTATCGGCCAAAATAATTTTGTCTAACGTAATTTTCAGATCTTTTTTCTTGTCGTTATTTTTTTTATAACTTTTATTCTTTATAGTTTGACAAATGTTTTTAACGCTTTGGAGTACATTATTGCGGTATTTAGAGGCCAACAATACAAGACCTACAGTTACACATACGAGAAACATGTTGTTCCTTGCAGGATGCATTAATCGCGTAAACAGGTTTTAATTCTTGGATAAATTTATATTAAAAATTCTATATACAATTTGTTTTCCTTCTCTTACGTTTACTTAATAAATATGAATGCACATAAATTTCTTTGTTTAAGATACAAATACATCAGTAATTGAATACATTAAATAAATAAGTTAATTGAATCTATGTTTAATCTGATAATCATAAATCGATCGTGAACTAGCCGGTAGTTGAAATGTAATAGAGGCAAAAAGTTCCACTTAAAGTACGTTTGGATTATTAAATTATAAAAGACATTTGAACAATTCCGCGAAAGGTACATCACGATCTTAATTACAACAACAAATCGATAACCTTACAAGGTTCAAGGAAATCCTCAGTGAATTAGAAACCGGCCGACGTACGCCGCTACAGATACCACGCACGACTGCGATCATCTGTATATCGCCGATTGACATATAAATTATATGGTGTACATGATATAATGGGTAAAAGACAGAGTGGCCACCGCTCACTAAGACGCTTAGTGAGTGGGTTCTAGTACCAGTGGCGTCATCGACGGGAAAACGTCAAAGTTTGTAGAAGAATAGTTTCCTATTTTCAACGGTAGATAACGCTCCGTGTCTAAGAGTTGTGGGGAGAGCTTAGGTGTCTACCATAAGAAACAGAGAGCACGAGTTTTGATTTTGGAGGATTACAATTTATTCTCTATGCTGTCTATGCGACACGTTCAGACGCGATCCTTTTTAATGCGGGAGAACCAATCTCTTTTTGTCCGTTATGAAAAGGAGAGAGGACGCCATTTCAAACTAAACTTACCAACTAAGTAACAAAAACTTACTAGCTAACTAACCTATAGTGCTGCGGTCCAATCTAGGGACCTTTCCGCCACAGAGTTATAGCCCTGATGGCTATAATTTAGAGACGCGGAGCGTCTCGACGCCAAGTACATGAAAAATTATAAAGCCACCCTGTATATAACTGCACAAAACGCAGCGGGAAAGAAAACCCACTGCTGAATCGATAGAGAAGTGACAGTTTACAAAGCGTTACCTCGTGAAGATAAGCGTGTAAGTATTTTTTTAATCTATAATCAGCGCCATCGGTGGCAAAACGCCCAAGTTTACAGTGGAAATAGTTCGATGGTAATATAGTGCAACCGATATCTTTCAATTCAGTGATGGGCAAAACCCTAGGCTTCGAATAAATCTGAAGTTTGCCGATATGTCTATCTCCTTTTCTCTTTAAAACACTTTCCAAAGAAGGAAAAGAGACAAACATATCGGCAAACTTCAGATTTATTCGAAGTCTAGGCTTTTCCCCATCTCTGTTTCAATTATTCTTTATTTTTCAATAAATGCATAATTAATACAATCTTGACTGTATAACACTACAATATATTACTCCAATATATTGTTTTAATAGTTAGCAGTAATTATTGACCCTTTGGTTAGTGGCATCATCTTATAGAATCAGTAGAAGCTATTTTCACTACAAGCTACAGCGCCACCGGTGCTTAAGCCCGCTCACTGAGCAGCTCAGTGAGCGATGGCATTTTGCATGCACCATTTGCTACGTATGATTACCACAACTTTATCTTTTTCACATTCATGATTCGATAGTACTGTATAGTACGTTCTTTACTTTGATTGGTTGGTCCACTTTTGTACAAAACGAATGCAAAATATAAGTGATACTTGTATTTACATAATTTTATAAATAATTATGAATCATCCACAAAGGGGTGAAACAAATACATGTGTTTGTAACAGTAACGTGTGTATTCTTAATATTTAGAAATTCAAAAAAGTGTATCACCTTTACATTTTATCGTCGTACGTTTTATCGGTACATATATCTATCGAAAAGTAATTGAACACAAAGTAAATGCACTGTACAGTTTAACTTGTGCGTTTATTATAAATAAGAGAATAATACATATCTATATACATATATATCAACACTTGAAACGATACAGTAAATATTAAGTATGGCGTTAATCCTATCAGCTGATATCGTCTGCTGGAATGACGAATCGTAGTTCGATTATTTGGTTAAACAGTACCTTTAACTGCTTTAAAAACATCCCTTTATTCGATGACTCTTCGCACAAATTGATGAGTTCGCGATAAATGACAATAATGTATGTTTTAATGACGGAATGATTATATCAGAGTTTGTAATGGTGATAATACTCGAGAGACAGGAACCTGATTGCGTGCGTCATTGACAGGTGGTACAGGAATGTGGGGAGACAGATAGGATTACTCTCGTAAACGATTTTTTTTCACGATCGGTGAAGTAAAAGAATCTGCCGATCAACTTGCAGATTCGGTTGTGATGAGCGACTCCGAACAACGGCAACTGCACGTGCCTTATAAAGAATACCATAGCCAGAACAACACTAACACTTCTGCGCTAGTGGAAACTGATGCACTGGTAGATCTATCAATCACATCTAAAAATTGTTTGCCAGTGAACAGCGAGTGCTCGGAATTAGTACCGGACGTTGAGTTTGTTCCAAACCTGAGCACCGAACAACCTATAGCCATTGATTCCCCTGGGATTGACCGGGAGAGCCAGCCTCTCCTTGGTCGATTGGAGCTAGATGTTACGTTCAATCGTTTTCCTGGTTTGTTGTCGCAATTCATTGTTCATATTCAAGTCTTACCAATTTCACGTTTATTTTTTTTATTCATATATTTGTAGATGATCCACAATTCTCTGAAATGGTATGGCAAGCCGAATGCGCGATAGATAATGGAATCTTTCCTGAAAGAATATATCAGGGATCAAGCGGGAGTTACTTTGTAAAAAATCCCACAGGGGTAAGGTATAAGTTTCTTTTTAACTTAAAAATATCATATATATAAAAAAATTTTTAAGTACCATTTAGAAAAAAAAATATTCTGAATTGTTTGTCATTTTATAGAGAATAATAGGTGTATTTAAACCAAAAGATGAAGAACCATATGGGAGGTTGAATCCAAAGTGGACAAAATGGATGCACAAGCTTTGTTGTCCTTGCTGCTTTGGGAGAAGTTGTTTGATACCAAATCAAGGATACCTGAGCGAGGCTGGTGCAAGCTTAGTTGATCGCAAATTAGGTCTCGGCATAGTTCCAAATACTAGAGTAGTTAAACTCGTCAGTAAAACGTTTAATTATCCGCGCCTAGACCGACAGAAAGCTCGCATGAAGCAAGCGATTATGGACCAGTTTCCTACAGTGGGTTCCCATTTCAATCGTATCGGTTTACCGCCAAAAGTTGGTTCTTTCCAAGTTTTCGTAGATGGCTACAAAGATGCCGATTATTGGTTAAGACGATGGGAAAACGAATCTCTGTCACCGCGTCTTAGTAGAGAATTTCAACTTCAATTCGAGCGCTTAGTCATTTTGGATTATATAATTAGAAATACGGATAGAGGTATTTAACGATTTATAACATTTTTTCGAATTCCGTTTAAAATCATAATTTGTAAACGTATTTTTTATCCTTTTAAGGTAACGATAATTGGCTTATTAAATACGATAATGCCACGGGAAAAAACACATCGGAACAGGGTGATGTAAAGATTGCTGCGATAGACAATGGTTTGGCCTTTCCTTTTAAACATCCCGATTCTTGGCGAGCTTATCCATATCACTGGGCATGGTTGAGTCAAGCGAAGCAACCGTTTAGCGAAATAACACGAGAGCTTGTGTTACCACAACTCTCGGATCAGAATTTTGTACAAGATCTTTGCGACGATTTGTATCAATTATTCAAAGTAAGTTGCGTGTAATAATTGTCACGCCATCGATATCGTACGATTCTCAATAAGAGATCAAAGATAAAGCAAAGTTGTTTTTGTAGCAAGATAAAGGTTTCGATCGTCATCATTTCGATAAACAAATGAGCGTTATGCGTGGTCAAATCTTAAACTTGCAACAAGCATTAAAAGATGCCAAAAGCCCTGTGCAATTGGTTCAGATGCCTGCTGTGATCGTTGAAAAGTATTTATTTATTCATTTACATGTATTTTCTATAAATTGTATCATATAGACAGTTAAGCGTAACCACGCAATTTTATCACTATTTTTCAGGGCCAAAGGAAACGGAGCACCAAGATTATTCTCATTTTCTGATACATTTACACAGCGCTTCCAGAATAAAAGTCCCTTCTTCTCTTGGTGCTGAACAAATGTTTTCTGAATGTTTGAAACGACGTCAATCCTGTGTGTCGACTGAAAACTGTTCAGTATATCGCAATCATCTTATTATTTGTTTCGTATCTGTTTTAAGTTTATTCCGCATTGCTACCTCTTTTTGAACACTAATTTCTAATCTACTATCCGTAAATTTAATCGAAGATAACGTTTAATATATTTTATATCTAAAATATTTCCTTTTGATTTGAATATAATCATCAGTCATAATATAATTATATTGTATACAGTAAATATATATAATGTTATAAAAAATATTTCGATATGCTTCGTGTAAAAATGAAAAGTATGAAAAGTGACAAACGAATATAGACGACGTTTTATGTCTACGCATAAACAATACCCTCTAACGAACCACGAGTAATTATATATTCATAACATTTGTTTTTTTTTGCGTCTTCCGTATTAACGACACCTTCTGCTAATTCATATTTATGAATCGAGTATGTTAATTTACATATTTTCCCTAGATGCTGTCAAGAAGAAATATCTGTCAAATCTTCAAAATGAACTGTGATCTACTAATTAAAGGCCATATTCTTATTGTTTAAAATAAACATTCTACGGAATCATATTATATTTTTAACCTAGACTTATAAGGAAATAAATTTTCTATTAGTGGCTAAGACAAAAATTTCTATCATAGTTTTCATCGAAGATTTCAACTTATAAAAAAACTAAACGAATCTCTCTTTGTTCTCACGATATAGAATATACACGATGTTTGAACGTACGACCGATCGTCGATGTAATCGATTGCATTCATAGCCTATACTTTGTTTTTGTTTAAACAACATTTACTTAACACTAACTTCCACGGCATGATCTCATTAAATTTCACGTTTCATTGACGTCACAAAGTGTAATAAAATAGTTGACGCCAACAAATTACAATCGTAATCGTTTTGTATCATTGTATTTTATATCGTGTAACATTTTGTATTCAGATTTAAAAAATAATCGTTACGAATATAAAAATAGCAACATGGAGGTGGTGGAGATTAACACAAAGCAAAGAAAAACCCAATTACCGTGTTATAAACCATTAGAATGCCCGTGTAATGTTAAAGTAACGATCCGTTTCTTTTTAAATTAGAACTCTTTAATCCTTATTCGATTATACTATTGGTAATTCTCTTATACATCTAGTGCACAAAGAAATATGTACAACCATCGCGAGTTAAATCATTCGCTCCTGAAAGAGTGTACTGTCCACCATCAAAGGTTCTCGAAGCTAATACTACATACCATTTGTCGTATTTGAATTTGGACCATAGAAAAATGCGTTCCGTTCGGTCTCAGCCCATTCGACCAACTCCTGCTCTCGACAAAGTTGAAGGTAAATTTGCCGACGAAACGACCAACAAATTAAGTTACAAACCCGTTGGCCATGTGCCTAAAGCAAAACCGATTCTACCCAGGCAAAGGTAACGAAAATGTTCTAGTTATCTCATGCAAATCGAATAACAATTAAATAAGAATATTTATTATCTTTCTTTCGTGTTTTAGACCAATGATTGGATCAGGTCCCATGGAATGCATCACCACTGTTCGCCAGGATTACGCGCGGAAACATATTGATAAACCGGAAATGGTAATCCCCTGCGGGCATATACGTTTAAGCGGTGGCAAATTGGATGCCAGCACAACCGCGAAGCTTTCCTACATGGATCCAGGCCCCACAGAGCCTGTGATGAACTTCAAGCCTATAAGAGTCTATTGTCCACCTAGCGAACCGATACATCACGATACTACGCAAAAATTGAGCTATCAGCCTGTCGATGTTCAAGAGAAAGAGACATGTTTATGGCAATTGAAACCGACTTACAAGCCCCCAGACATTGCCATGTGTGGGAGAACGACATACTCTGAAAGCTTCTTGAAAAACGAAGAATTGTGCACGGAAAAACCTATCAAGCCGATTGGGACTAATATACTTCCCCACGGCGGTGAATTCGCTGGAAAAACGATTTACAAGGAAAGCTATCTCGAGTCGTGTAACGTAGAACGCGTCGATCCCTTCATTCCTTGCAACAGTATCTCTAAACCGAGTGGCAGAATATCAGGAGATACGACGAACAAAGTAGGCGTAGTTGGTGGAAGAGATAGTAGATGAACTCACAAATCAAATAAATTGCCAAAATGGAAATAACGTTTAAGTTTTCAACGTGCAAAAGATAAGGATGGTTCCACGAAGAGTTCACTGTATTTCTTCTACCAAGTGTACTTGGAACACCAGTCGCTATGATTTAATAGAATTGCTTTCTTTAATCGATGAGATTCTCTTGTAGTTGAGTTATCAACCGGTTCAAAGCGAGAAACGTTCTCCTATCCTGCCTCGACGCAGATGTATGACTGGAGACGGTCCTATGCAATCGGAAACTACCAATCGTTGCGACTTTGCACCGAAGAAGTCGATCAGGCCCGATCCCGTCGTACCGTGCAATAATATCCGAAGCGCCGAGACGCCGATGGAAGACAGAACTACAACGAGATTATCTTATGTAAAACCAGGACTAATGGAGTGCGTTCAAAGCTTCAAACCTATTGTCCAATATACTAGGTAAACAGAAGGGGCTATAGACGTTCTGAAAGATTCTGCATTGTTATTAGTAAATATGTTGATCGTTTGAACATCAACAGAATATATATTTTACAGATTACCTGATAAAATCGATTGCGAAACCGTGAACAAGTTGTCGTATCAGCCATGGACCCCTATTCCCAAGGAAACTATACCATGGGCGGCTAAAAGCAAGTACCAACCGCCCAAGGATCCTATGTGCGCTGATACTATTTATCAAGCTAGCTACCCCGCGCCTGGATACTACGAAGAAATATGCGAGCCATCTCCTGACGTCTGCGACTGCTTGCTTTCAAAAAGTGAGTGCCCTCTTACGGGAGCACAGCCGTCGAATGATGAGAACAACTGTGAAGTTTAAACAAAATTTTCATTTATCATATTTTATTGTACTGTCCGTTAATATACGAACGGGTCTTATTTTACATTTACATATAGTAATTACTGTATACAGGATTATGAATAATACACGATTTATCTTTTACAAACAGTAAAATTGTTTTCAATAATAAAATAAACTCTAATCTTTGATAAAAAGATCAATAGACAATATTAACGTACACTCTTCGGAGATATAGCTTACATACATACATACATACGTACATATACATATATATATATATATTATATAGTAAATATAATGGGATAACGATGTGTGTAATCCTACTAAAGACAAAACTTAGCGTACGTCGATGTTTTACATATGCGCAACAATTGATAATTTTCTTTTCTTTCTTTTAATAATTGATTCATATACCACAGGGGAGGGAACAATATTTAGGATATAATTAATTTTATCTACTTAAACTGTCGATGAAAGTTTCGTATCCTTAGAATTAACGTTTTTGCTAAGGATGCCTTTACCTTGAATTTGCTAATTGTTTCGCTATATTGCATTAAAAGTATTAGACGCCAAGCCTAAACGAATGTTTCGCCTCGTGTATTTAAAACGTCCTAGAAGAATGACATTTAAAAACGCGTGATCGGTGATCACGTTTCTATCGACAACTCGAATCCTTTCGTGAAAAGAGAGAATCTCACCAAAGATATATGTAGATATGCATGTAAACATCATCGAAAAATATTATAGCCACAGATTTAAAGATCGTAAGGCACGCGTTAAGTTACGCAAATTACATAATGTTACACTCTATCTGTGTTGCACAAATCCCTCGCATCTTCGATCCGCCCCACTGATAAATTAAAATCTTTACTGCGTGTAATTTCGCTATTTACAAAATTAGGCGGAAAATGATTGTCTCTATTCGCGCGTTCGATATTTTAATATACCGATTCTATTATCACCCGACATCTCTAAATCTTACTACTTAAATCGTTAACGATGTTTTTTTTTTCCTTTATTTCCTTCCGAATAATTACTAGACCATTGTGACCGCCATCAAAAAGGTACCGATTGAAAAGAACAAATATAAAGTGATTCACTTAAACTGTGAAATCATTTCAATTACTTTGTATAAACATGTTTTAATATCTCAAAATGTGCTATGCAACGATATACAAGTTAACTCTAGCTCATTACTATGTGGCGTTTACATCTTTATCGCGCGTATCTTCAACGCTCTTCTACATCATAGCACTCGTTTCCGTTTCCTTACAAGATGTAATAACTAATTTCAACTATACAAAGAAAAGCCGGATAAAACTAAATATTTTGTAAAGAAAGCCTCGTTGTTGAGCGTAAAATTAAAACACGATTGGGAAGATTCTGCATAGCAATATTAATTGCAGATCACTTCATCAGAATTTAATTAAACGTTCTCGTATGACCAAACTATCATTGTACATTAGGCATGACAAGTATTTTATATTGAGAACATGATGAAATAATGTCAATTACGATACACATATGGACGTGCCTAATCGCAGCTAAGTAACACGTAAGTGATAATGTATAAATATTCGTGCGACTTTTTGTTTCGTTCGTATGCAAAGTAACTAAAATCGATGGCGATCGCCTCGAGACATTATACTACATATATGTATATTGCACTTACACGATATAATAAACCCTTTGCACTCGGATGTCACTACTGAGGAAATATCGTAAATAAGATACAGGACAAACTTACGCGAGCGCAAATTTTTTAAATACAGTATATATACCGAGATATGTATATATATATATATATATATATAAAAAAAAAAAAAAAAAAATATGAAGTATATTCACAGCGGTGTCAAGGCTTAAAGAAAGCGAATTGGTACAATTTGAGCGTGGACAGAATATCGTTACAATAAATTACAGAGCTCAAAAGTTAATAATATTTAGCGTGTCAGCTTTGTTTGCATACTTTGCAACGAGATGACCCCAAATGCAAAGGGTCACAAGATATGCTACGCTTCGCCAGAGACGAATAGAATTAAAAATAAGTGTGTACAACGTGTTAGATGAACGATATTGATGACGACGAAACGATAATTTTCTTTTTACATCCCTCCCCTATTAAACAACGATAAACATAGATCGCATACCATCGAATTGCATACGTTTAAAAGTTGTATCGTGGATGGATAAACGAAGGCGATCAATTCAACAAAAGAAATATATATCGCGATCATCCCGACATACCTATTGCGGCTTAGTGTTGTACGATTGTATGAACTCGGAGAAGCTAAAGCCATTAAAGTGTTCCAAGTCGATATTATCGTCGATCGGGGGCAGCTCACTGTGACTCATCAGATCTGCATAGTCCATGTCCGTGTTTGTTCGCCCAACGCCTGACTGGCCAAGGCCCGGAGCGTAGCTACCACAAATCAAAACACAACTCCAATCACTGGCATAGCAATAGACAACAGTCTCCCACTAATTCCAAATATATTACACACGGTGAACCACCGATGCGATTGATCGTATTTCATCTTATCTTTTCTGTTTGTTAATTTCTGCTTTACATTTCTCTCAATTGATCGGATGATCGAAGGATCATCGAAATTCATTTTTCAAAAAGAAAAAAAGAAAAAAAAAAAAAAGAAACGTGTGACCGATTAGCCGGATAGCCGGTACAACACGGCAAGGGACGTACGAACAACCACACAAAGAATCCCCAACCCAATCGAAATCGATCGGTCACTCGAATGTTACAACCCCTCCCAATTTTAAATGCGTATCGTATGACTATGGTTCCTTGAACTTGAACAGGTAGTGCCGCCTTCTAGTAACAAGATCTATACAATACACGTGTAACGTTAATTTGCCAGTAGAACTGTGTATACTAATGCATCGTGATTGGAGCTGCGTTTTCTCAGGAGTAGCGTTTTAAGCGTTCAATTTTCCGTTGTTGTGGTTGTACCGGCTTGCTCCAGGCCTTTGCCTTCCATTTCTCGGAATCTCGTATTAAGCAGAGTACCTTGTACATAGGTTGACTCGTGTCACAATATGCGGCTCATTCAGCTATTAATTGTGTGTTATTCTTTCTTTTTTTTTTGTACGAATTATATATCAAAAAGGTATACGTACATACACGCACACACATAGATAAATATATATTTATACACATAAAATACACTACGAGTAAAGCAGGAGCTTTTGATACTCGAACCATCTGATTTCTTTTTTGTTCTTTTAAAAAGCCATGGATAAGTTGTGTCGCTAAAAAAATACACATACAAAATTTTGGCAGTCTCAGAAGAAAGTACGAACTATTGTTTTCTTTTCTCAATTAAACCTCTTTCATGTTCCCCATTCATGCTACAAAACTAGATACTATGAATACGAAAGAAAAAGGGAAAAAAAGGACAAATCGATCTACGACCAAATTGCTTCTCACGCTCGAAGATCCTCCATTTGTCTATCTTATCCGTTGGACGGATTTCGCTGCAACTTTCTTTGCAAACAATTGAAACATTATGCAACTAGACCACGCTATAGCACCTCGTTATTATATAATGAACGTATCACTCTACGTTATCTTGTTTAAAATGATCGTACAGAGGATCTCCTTGGAGCTTTAATAATGACATCATTCGATAACGTGTAGTGTCACTTAATACTACTAAATACATACTTACTGATAAATAATTGTAATATTGGAACAGAGTTCTGGGTGACACGGAGACTAATTAAAGTGAAATACTCGAAAAAAAATAAACGAATAAAAAAAAAAAATGAAAATGAAAATGAAATCAGGAGACTAGTTGTTTGATAAGTTTCGTATCCGTGGCCAGGTATACGCGAACATATAAGTATTTCGATACTATTCTACTTCACGAAAATAGTCCTTTAGGCACCCAGCGTACTCCGTATATGATCGGAGTTGCTCCCTTAACTACGGACAGAATCTCTTAATACAACTTAATGTTACTTATACTTTCATTTTACGATACAATAGTGTAAAAATTTCAATATTCCATAAGAAAAGTTTACAAAATGTGTGAAACTATAATATCACTGTAAATATTTTCTAAACATTCGCAAAAGGAGAACATAAAAAACAATACTGACATTACCTGCACAGATAGAATATAAAAGACATGCAAAGCGTTATAGATTGTTGTAGGAATGTCTTTGTTTCCACCATTTTACGAATCCGCGTATTATTGTCTGCTTGCGTTGAAAATGCATCTATCCGGACAATGACGACTCGAAGGTATATCGATAAATAATGAGATAATTTTAATAATTTACAAAATAACCTTTACAGTCGCCGGAAACGATATTACTCATTCGAAAATTTGAGCACTGGCTCATAATTTTGAGTACAGCGTACGATAGTGATAGAAAAACCTTTGCATATCTCGTATGAAACATCTATAGCAGCTTATCCTATTGGTAAATAAATGATGTATGAATGATATCTTAGATCCAGGGGACTGACCTGGAAGCCACCGATGGAGTATCGCGTGTTACGGACGGGTCAGGACTGTGCGCTTGGAACATAGTGGACGGCGTTGCAGGATAACTACCACCTGGACCACTCTGACCACTACTGCCTACCCCGACTACAGAAGAGTGTGACGGTGTCTGACCACCGACACCCGGCCCGCCCCAACCAGGTACGTGCGTTACTAACAAAGGTTTCACATATCCGTTCGTTGACGTAGATTGATTTTCTACGACAAAGTACAATGTCCATAAATCAAGTTTAAAGCATCGCCCAAACAAATAAGATTACCAGACGAAAACAATATTTACCTGGAAACGGTGTGTAATATTTGGAAAATGCTTGATCTTTCGACAAATCTGGGTAGAGGTACAGTAAGTGTTGTAAATCGGACACGCGATCCGCTAAACTGCGGATTGCGAAATCTTTGCTGGTGAACGGTTGTAACATAAAGACTTCGGTTTGTTCTACAAAAATTTCAGTACAAAACAGGCATCGATCAAGTCTATCACAAAACAGTAAACTAAAAATAAAAAAAATATGTTTACCTCCAACCCAAGCGATAGTAACCCCACCGAGTTCGGAATCTGAAAAGCGCATTAGGAAAGTTCCTGACGGACAGTTCGCCAGCATTTCTTCAGCTTGTTTCTTTCTTACGAATCCCATTATGTACCCGTCGATCCAAGGACTCCTCAAGTGTTCCCTGGTCAACTTCATCACGGCGTAAAACCATTCCCAGAACGTGAAATTTCTTTCGGGCAATGGCTCTTTGCAAAACTGCGCCCAACTCAGTAGCAAACCGGAATAATCTTGTCCAGCCGCGTTTCCTCCGCGAAATGCTTTTTCCGCGAGAAATCGAAGATTATCTTCCGTTAACGAACGGCCTGTTGCCGATTTAAATTTAACGTTTAACGCTTCGGCTACTTGACCCCATGGAACTTTATCAGGTACTGCGAATGGTACTCTTCCAGGTTCAGCGAAAGCGTTATCCCATGTAACCGTAGCCCACGCGTGTGGTTCCTGATTTCCATGTACAATTACTACAACTGGTAAACTTAACGTCCAAACTTGGAATACTAATTCACCTCCCCCAACGTTAAATTGCGATTGAAAGAGGAGCGAGAATTTTTCATCCATGACGGATTCTGTTCCCTTCTTTTCTGCCCTTTTGATCTTCTTCAATTGCATGTTACGATAACTTACGGAAAGTTGTCTGGTTGCCTAAAGAGTTACGTCACATTTATACGTATCGCAACATTGTGAATTACGATAAATTTAACGAGATCGCTAACGATATAGTTTTTCTTACCTGATGATATTCCATTGTTCCTGTATTGTTCAAGATTTCACCGCTAACTTCTCCATTTTTTGCCATTTTGTCGCTCTTTAACATAGCATTTGCTTGAGCTTCGCTAATGATACTCACTTTTACTTGAGGTGGATTCATATGAACGTTTAATTTTCCACCCACGAGAAGACGTACCGTACTCGTAAAACGTGTATTGGTTTTCATTACTTGCGGCGGTTGCTTTTCTATGATAAATGTACTAGTAACTAGAGAACTAAGAAGCTGTGTGATCTGTGAATTTAACGTAGAAAGAATATCTTGCATTCCTGGTGGTTCGAGCGCAAATTTTTGTTTTAAACGATCTGCTTCTTTGATTTGTTGACGATTAAGCCAAATTAATTCTGCTAAACTATCACACCATTCTTGAATGGTATCCAAATTGCTGTTAAACGGCGCACCATTTCCTGATAATTGTTGTACTCTTTTCCATCTAATAAGTTCATCATCCAAAACTCTAGATTGCAAACTGTTTAGTCTGGTGATCGTGTCCTTCAGTTTATCAGCTAATGTCAAACGTAACTGCATCAAACCAGCCACTTTATGATTTAGTAGTTGTTCTTGTTGCTCCTTTTGTCTTCTGATCTTTTTTTCCAGGTCTAAATTTTGCTGATTTTGTGGCTGAGTTGCAAGATGTTGAAGATGCGCATTTAATTTAGTACATTCGTGATAACTAATTGCAAATGCTTCTTGTTCTTGCTCCATTTTTCGTAAATCTTCTCCAGTTTCTTGCGTTCTGCGTCGTAAAGATTCAACGTGTTGCGCTATTTCAGCAACAGAATCACTGATCAATCCTACTTTTCCACCTGCCTTGCTCATTAAAGCACCTCCCAAATTTTCTACTTGAGCTACTAAGTTCATTTCTGTTGCTAGACAGTGTCTAATTATTCTAAACAATGTTGTCGGATTGTGAGTGTATCTTTGCTGTATCACAAAAAACATATGTGCAGATTATATATTTAGTAATTACTTATTAATTATTAAATATTCAGTCACAAAACTTACGCGAAAATTTTTTGCAGCCTCAATTAATTTTAACTTTGTAAGAAACATATCATCTGTATTTAATGAAGCTGCTTTGGATTCCAATTCTTGTATCAGAGATATGACAAGATTAGCTACATACTGTTCGTGCTGTGGATTTTCAGGTTCTATGTCGGTCCTGTGACAAAAATATTATTAAATTAAATGGTCCAGAAATGTTAAATAATGTATTAAAGTTTGATAATTACCACATTTTTTCTTCGATCCAAGTAGACAAAAAATGTCGAACTTCAATTGGGAAATGTTCTCCGTACACTGAACGTACTTGTTGCAATGCATCTTGTGGCAATTGCTGTGCTTTTGCCCACAGTGACATTTTCGCTTCTGGTGCAAATACTTTAACCTAAAACAATATTTAAATGTTAACAAGAATGTCGTTATTGTATATCAATTATTACTAAATCCTTTCAGTTTTCTTTAATAATTTAAAAAATTTATGAATGACAAAACTAAAAAAAAAGTCAGTAATGTAACCATAAATACGCTATGAATCTTCATTTTTAAATTTGATACACAAAGAATCAAAATATCCGACGGTTCCGCGTATAAATTTTAACATAAAAGTGCGAAACCTCCATGGTACGGTGCAACGAATCGAAGAAACGCTCGATAAGATCAATGGGAAGCATGTGGATAGATACTTCTGAAACTCGAACAAAATAGATATTATCTACATCGAATAATATTCGAAATAACTGAAAAGGTTATAGCAAATTAAAACATTTCAAGTAACATGTTCTTTCGATCGCATTCCGCATGACGAATGCGACAGAAAAACTTAAAGATAACAGAACGTAACGTATCGCAGTAACGCGTAAATAGATAAGCGGGAGGGGCGAAAGAAAAAGATGTTCGCTCAAAGAATCGCTTCGACTCACCTGCTGCTAGTCCGAAGACGGAAGCAACTAGGATCTTTGTAGAAGATCCCACTATCTATCTTTCTCTGTCCCACTCTTTAGTTCAATTTGCTCCAGACGTGACCTTTGAACTGATACACGCTACTTAATCTGCCGCGTAATAATCGTAAACGTAAGAATCGCGGGGACCGGTCGCACACGCGAATCTCATCAATAACTTTCCCCCTTCTGCGTTACTCTCATCAGCGCAGACGACGACGGAGTGCGCGGACCAGGAATTCTGAGAATTTCTTACCGTAAATGGCGCGGTGCAAAGGAGAGGGGAACATCACGTGATCAAACTTTAACTACACATGCGCGAATTTGTGATTTTCCCTAGAAAAATAGTAGTACATGTATAGAATGTGGTAGCATTTCCTGTACTCGTCACTAGAGGGATACTTATTCCGCTACCTATCTGTCCGCCTAAAATCCCTATATATATATAACCTAATCGATAAATCACGATGAATATCTTGGCGTCTGCCAAGATCTTATTCATATTCCTAACGAGTTCATTAGAAGACTCAGAAAAAGAGATGTTTCTTTTCTTTTTCTCCTTTCTCTAGCTCTTTCTTCTATATTACCAATTTGTAGCAGGTGCATATATATACCTGTATTGACAATAATCTAGCTTGATTTATACGCTGAAATAAACAATTATCTTTATAGAACTTAAAATATATTTTGACATTATATAATACAATAAATATATAAACAAGATTATCTCAAAAATCTGAAAAATACATTGTAAAATATGTTATTATATGTATATATATAGTGTATAAAAATACTGTTAGAACATGTAAATATTTATAGAAATAGAATTTTCATATAGAATATAATTAATTTTTGTTTAAAGAGATTTTATGCTCTGAAGAATAAGCGGAGGAAATACAAGAAATACCGCACCGATAAGATATGTTGTCTTGCTACCAATGCACCAAAATGCTAAAATAAAAAATAGTACTTTGAATGTATCGATGTAATTAAATGTTTATATACTTCGTTTTTACCTGTGGAAGCTATTATAGGTCCACAAGCCCGAGCTAATGCCCCAAGCGAACGAAATACACCTGTTATCACTCCTTTCTGATTTTCAGGCCCAATTCGTGTTACAAGCGTCATCATACATGTAACAACCATAGCAGTAGCTGAAACACAGATAAACGATAACCATTGCAAGTGTTTAGATTGTTAAATATATGTTTACATTGTGGTATACTCACATACTGCGAAAAGGAGTATTCCAATAGATAGTGTTAGTATGTTTTCTGCTATCCCTATACATACAAATGCTGGAATTATTAACCATAAACCCTAAAATATTTTTACCATGTAGCAGGAAGAAATTACGAATGTATAAATCTTTGTTTTAACTTTTAAAAATATTTACCAATTCTGCTGTATGCTTTGTTTTATGAGGTGGAATTGTTCGTACCCAACTTCCTTGTAAAGCTGCCATAACTAACCCAATTCCTAAGAACATCCACCCTTGTTGCATACTTGTAAATTCAAATTGATAGTGAGTTAGGAATGTTAAGGTAAATTCCAAGCCACTATAAATGAATAAATACATGAAATATGCATAACCTAGTGTTCTTAAGTTTTTTTTATCTAAAACAATAGACATAAATTTATTAATGCCAATAGTTTATGACACAGTAATTTGAAAAAGAAAAACTTACCTTGCAAATTTAAACTGGATACTCCATTAAACTGGAACAGGTCTACAGGACTGATATAAGTAATAGCTCCAGATATACCAGACTTGAGACTTTTTGCTCTGCAGTGAGGAGATAAAGATTCTCTCAAATTGCAAAGAATGAAACATAAATCACTTGCTGCTAGAAAAAGAGCGAATACAGCAGGTACTATGTACCAAGATCCTTCTCTATTATTAGCCGAAGTCCAAGCAAAAAATGCTCCTATCATTGGACCCACGACAAACCCTATGGAAAAAGCAATGCCAACCAGTGCCTAAAAATTAAAAAAAAATTCTATTACATCTCCTTCTTTAGAAACATTTTCATATATCAACTAATTCTTTCAACAATTACCATTGCTTTTCCCCTTGTTTGTGGAGATGTAACATCTGTGATAATAGCCATCGATAAACTAATATTTCCTTTACTAATGCCTCCCAAAAATCTTGCTAACACAAAGATAGTAAAATTACAAGAAAGTGCCCATAATAAATAAGACATCATAATTCCTGTTAAACAAAACAGCATTAGTGGTTTTCTTCCATAAATATCAGATAATGCCCCTACAATCGGTGAACCCAAAAATTGTAAAAATGAGTACATAGAACCGAGAAAACCTGTAAATTAAATTGTTCCCTTGAGTCAGTAACACTATGAACTAGTTACATATAAGATAATATGTACACAAGTTGAAAAGAAGACTAACCTCCATAAAGCACTGTACTAACTTTATCGGGAGCATCAAAAAATTGTCTGGCTTGTTGTACATAGTGTAAGATTTTAAAGTATAAGCCTTGATCATTTTCCACATCCTTATAATAATCTAATAATGCTGGTAACAATGGTAATATCATAGTAAATGCTAGGAGATCAAAAATCAAAGAAATAAATACTATTTGGATAGTATTGTCTTTTATTTTAGCCATTGTTGATTTTTGTTTACTTTACAGGAATGAAAGCCTTTTTCGGAATAAAATAACTTTCATAAATCACCGGTACTTTATTTAAGAATATTCGTACCAGTATTAATTTCAATGTAACGCATGCTTGATACTTAAATAATTTCACTTCGATCTTTTGCACATAACATGATTTTTGTCAAGCGAGGTGTTTCGTTTGGAGACGTAAAATACACTTTAACGGGAATACTTTCTACCTCATCCATCGTAAGCGTTAGGAAGGATTATTTCCTAAAAGTGAAAGGTTTGACATACTTTTCGTGTCCTACTTAAAAAATTTCTTATCTACTATACTTACGATCGATAAAAAAGAAATCTGTTTGGTCGCTAAGGTATCATTACCGACATGACTACTTTGACACTACTCTGTATTATCCAAAGTAGATCCAACGTCAATCAATTTTTCGTTTAGTCCAAGTATTTATTCGTAAAGATTAAAGCAATTGAGCAATTTTATTTGAGATGCATATTATTTCATTTAAAATGCTAGATCATTTTTACTTTAATCGATAATATAGACATTCAATATACCGATCGCATTTGATTCGTAAATACTGTTAGAGTGACAAATTTTAAATTTCCTAAACCTCGACATTAAAGATACAGGTTTACAAGATAAAGGAAAAATTAAATATATAGTATTAAACCTGTACGAAAAAAAATCATATTTATTGGTACAGGCATAGAATCATGATTAATCGTTAGATTGTTTTTATTTGCCAGTGAAGCGAAAAATAGCACAACAGGCGCACCCAGAAACATTATGTATGTTTAACTTCCGGTTGCACACGATATAAAGATTCGTATACACGAGACACAAACACGTTTGCATTCAACCACGGATCCACTTCCTCGACGGGAACAAAGATCTTTTGAAACCCGTCCCAAAGTGTAACGTCGCCAGGGACGACCGTTTTTTAACGTGCAGTCTTTCAATAGATTTTTTCTAATCCAAGTTTCGTGGAAATAAATCACAAAGAGCAGGCATCATTTTTTCAATTCTTATCGTGCGAACACAATTTACAGTAAACGCATAAGCGAAATAAGAATGCTTACCGATATCGAAACAGAAGATTATCATAGATAGATAGCTTGTACTTTTAGAACGATTTTAATCGAAACTCGTGCAACGGCCTGTATGTAAGTTTATGAAAGATGGCGCACTTTTAGAGGCTTATCTTACCGCGAAAAGTATACTTTTTATACAATTTCAAAGGATTTTTAAAATATCTTGATCTACGCATAGAACAGGTGGCCCGAAAGTCAGCAGCGTTATATCATGGTTAAAATTTAAGTAAGGGACTCAACGCTTGCCATCTGGGCCCTACGGTGTGAAGGGCATACGGCACATCGATGCCATTCCATTTGTTGGCATGCATCGATGTACCTCGAGCCTCTTTTTAGCGTGAAAAGCTAATAACTACGCTGCAGGGTGGGGTGGATGGAATAATTGCAATGAGTCTTCAAAGTACCGTGTATCTTTACTAAACCTTGCGTAGTTATCTATGAAGACACTAACAAGAACATTCTCGCGAGATGAATACCGGGTGTCCCAAAAATGTTGTAACACCTTGAAAGGGGTGGTTTGGGAGATGATTTGAGATAACTTTTTCCTTAGCAAAAACCTTGTCCGAGGCTTCGTTGAGGAGATATTAACGGAAAACACTGACCAATCAGAGCGCGCGGAGACCGTTGGAGCGACCGCGATAGCGAAAGCTACGAGCTAAGCGGCCGCGCTTATACGCGAACAAGTGACTCGACGTGCATCGAAGGACATTGACGAGGCCGCTTAGCTCGTAGCCTTCGGTCCCGCGGGCGCTCCAGCGGTATACGCGCGCTCTGATTGGTCGAGGTGTTTTGTTAATATCTCCTTAACGGAGCCTCGGACAACATTTTCGCTAACGAAAAAGTTGTTTCAAATCACCTCCCGAATCACCCATTTCAAGGAACTACAACATTTCTGGGACACCCTGTATATCAGGTAGTATGTAACGATCGAAGAGTCGTTCGAGGTGTTTATACATTTCTAGAGAATTCTACGCGGAGCGACGATTGTTATTGAGTCAGTTCGTTTCAACAAGAGCAGGTATATAAAGAGACAAAGAGCCCCGAACTTAAAATCCCGTAGGTGGGGGGAGGGGAGGGTGTCCGTAAGACCGAACAAGAGCGAAAGAAGAAAGGAAATGAACGGAACGGGCCAGGCAGATGGAAAAATCCTCGGTAGAGAAAATCGACAATTTTCTAGGAAGCACGGGCTCGTAAACTCTTACAGTGGAAATGCCACGGACAATAAGGACAAAGAAAATTTTCGGGTACCGCGGTACACGGTTACCGGCTGGCAAGCTGCATCGCACACTTCGCTACGCGCATCGTAGAAAGCCCTGCTCTGCCCTGTATAAGCCCCGTAGGTATTATGAACTAGGTGCACGAGGCTTTCGAAACCAGACAGCCATCGTGTATGCCATAAACACGGGCCGCGGCAGACCCTCTCTCTCACGGATTGTAAATCCTCGTTCTGGACGGTATTAAAGGGAAGATGACGGTCCGTCAACCCCCGATACA